CACCTAATAAAAAGTATCAAGGTATTTCCTACGGGAGGGTCTATATTTGCATGCAAAAATCAAGTCATAGAGCAGAAAGCTTTTTCCGAGTAATCAATTACCAACTGATCATTAAGAGACATGAAATGCTGATTGGCAAAAAAAAATATTGATGTGGGTCAGCCTAGCCTGGCGACTTCAAAAAGCTAATGAGAACTCGTATAGACAAATACTTGGCCTACGCTTACTTTGGTCGTCCATTGCACGAGTTCCTTCTCTTCCTTGCCCACATTTCCCAGCAAGATTCGGCAGAAGTTGTATACTAGAGTACCAGTCCAAATACAGATCTGCCATTCCATTGTCTTTGGAATTATCATTTTCGCCGCATCCTAACCATCCAACATTGAAATAATGCACGACATAGGCCTATACAGTATAAAGAGTCTCACACAACTAGACGTGTTTTCGATGGTCTGCGTCACGTTGAGATGGGAGGAGAGTATTGAGCCAGGTTAGAAGAGTAGAAAAGGTTGGGTTACATCCCAGCGGGGGGTGGGGAGAGAGAACCAATGATGTCACTGGTATACACTCTCCTCGGCTGACTAATAAAATCTCATTTTTCTTGTCTATTTCTCCTTTGTTAACCATGTAATATCGGTTAGTTTTTTTCTTGCCATTGCACTTTGCGCCTCCATCCTATTGCGCTCGAACGATTGCATCTCTAGATTGTGGCGCTGCCAGGTTCATAGGATTCGCAGATGCCGATCGTATGTGCAGTCGCCACCTGCAAGATCATCTGATGATTTTGAAGTCGACGGAGAGAAACGTTCGTTTCACCGTTTGAAGGGAACCTTAGTTGGGAAAGACCAAGGTGATACAGTGGAAACGCGCGGAATATGAAATTCCTGTAGTGAACTAAGGGAGGGACCCAAAACAACTCTTTGGTGTCGATTGTCATCTTTCGCCGAAATGATCCAATCGAAATTCCTTGTCAACCATCGAATATCCCAAATATTTGTAAGAACGCAGTTGTTCGTCTGGATTCTCTTAATAAATTCTAAGTTGCTCAGCATGGGCAAGAATATGAGGAAGAAATGTCTTTTGTTGAAGTGGCGAGAAAGAATATCCTCATGATATTCATAAAAATCACGTGATTTGTCATGACCATGACAAACAAGTTCCCTTCCTCTGATTTAGGGATACAGCAACACAGAACGAGGGCGTCTGATAATGAATGCATATTCTCATTGCCATTTCAAAAGGGCAAATGACCCATGTTAACAATTCCCGTAAATGATAATATATTCTCGCTACAGTCGCATCCCCCTAGAACTTTTCAGTACTGAATCTTCCTCGCCTCTTTCCCATCCGATGCTCCCTTCCGCATTTTAAGGGATATTTTTAAAATGAGCGATTGGTTACGAAATGCGGACATTATACTTCAAATGATATCATAACATTGGAGGAAACCCAAGAGCGAGAATGGAGCAGCCGGGGCAGGTGTATACCAGTGACGTCATTTGCCTTAGGACTCGAGCTGCCATTATTCGGGGCTTCGCTTTCGACCAAACCTTATCTACTTTTCTAACCTGGGTATTAAGTGTAGGATGCCAGATGCGGCATTTCACACGTACGCCTAACAACCCTGTCTACGTGGCCACGAGACGCCGCTCTCTACCATTGTATACTATGGATCTGTCATACGCGAGGGCTGGAAGGGAAGTAGATGTTTTAGTGAAAGACGAGCACCCTGATCCAGACGGAAAGCTGCGCGTGCGCATTGGGTCGTGTTGTCAGGTCGCTATGGTTACTGCGGACCAGACGGAATGAAAAAAAAAAAAGACAAACCGACCGCAATATCTACCATTTCCCCATATTACCTCTGGGGACGGCAGATAAAAATTCTACCTCGGTCGTTCCATTTTTTTCATGAAATTTCCGAGTTACCGTTTCGATTTCGGCGGCGGTCTCTTGGAATGCAAGCGGACTGCAAGCAGACTGGCATGGCACGTAGCTATTGTGAATGTTTAGGATTTTCCTCAGAACCGAAGCGAACACGCGGTCGACGACCGGTTGAGCCTCGCTTCAAGGTCGGGATCGGCGTGCTAAAACATCCTTCGCCCTCGCCTTATCAGGATTGAAACCATCCAGGAACGGGGCTCGTCCGTCACGTTTCTCTGACTTCAGAGCATTTTTCAAGGTAATACAGATACGTCAGGGTTCGAGATACTCACGTGCATGCACTATTCTGAGCAGGACAGGTTTTCTCACGCTTTATTTCCAACACTGACTTTTATATAATAGAAGCAAGAAGCAAGTCTTATATAACAATAGCAAGATAAAGCAGTAGTCATCTTCTTGGCGAAATAGAGAGAAAATCCCCCACTCTCTTTGGGCGACTGTCGAGAGCGAAGGAGAGGTTCAGAGTTTTGAGAAATGGTTTTGAGCAGGCTTTGCACACGGGAGGATCATTTTCGGCACCCTGTACAGTATCTGGATTTCAGCGTTTTTCTCTCTGTTTCGTCATTTGGAAGACAGAAATGGAATAATCGGCGATTGAAATTTCTAGAGGGAATTGGGTTTCGCCTCGAATGACAAGATTCGGCACTCAGGCGACGGATCGGGGAAAAAAACGCTGTGAAATGATGGCCATATTTCAGCTTCCAAAAATTTTTTAAGATAAGAACTGCTTACGCATTTTCCACGCAGGCGCTAAGGCGGCACATTGCAGGCGGCACGTTCGCGTCGTCTACTGCTTGCCATTCAACTGATGCTGCAGCAAGTGCAGCAGCAAAATCAGGCTCGCTATCTGATTCGTCGAAATCACTTGCCGGAACGGCCGCACTTCGTACCTTCGTACCTGTGTCACGGTATCGTCTCTATCCGCCTTTAATAGTTTCCGTCTCTATCGCTGTCATTATCATCGAAAAAGTGCAATCGATCGAAAATCAGCGTATGCTGCTGCACGAAGATTATTGCGAAAATTTCGACTCTGCTGTGAAAGTTGTTGCATGTCTTAGAAAACCATTTCTGGGAAGAATGAAACGGTATCGTGTCGGCATATTCATTGTGTTGCACGAGTTACATAATACAACTACTTGAGTTTAATTAATAGCATGTCGATATTATAGGTGTTGGGAACTGAAGTAACAAATTGCTTAAACAGCAAACTCTTACGATAAAAGTTAGGAGAATCGATCCCAAAGCATTTATCTTCATATAAATAACTTATATTAAATGAGGGCTTGACTTCAACTACAGATTTGGATGCGGGCAGAAATGACTCTCGGTGTCCCAAAGGGAACCTTGAAGTACTTCTGCTCTTTATAGAGTACGAGAATCCCAGCCCTGGTTGGCAAGACTAGGAAATCCGTTTTTTTTTTCGTTCTCCGTTACCCCGCGGGAAAGCTTTGCAGTCTATTACGTGAAAGTAAAAGTCACTTTAAAAGGGAGAAAAAAATCTGATTGAAAAACGTGTGGTGGTTAGAAGCTGAGCGAAGGAATCGCGACGATAGACTGTCAATCCGTCGTAGCACATCGGTGTCAGCTCGACAAAGTCAAATGTAAAGAAAAAAGGGTTCCTTTCAATAACAACGCTCGCCAAAAGCAATAAGAGCGTGAATATTGGTAATAGTCTGCATGGCGGCAAGTGAATTTTTAAAAACCTTTAAAAAATGAAATTAGCACAAAAAATCATTAGAAAAAGAGACAGACTGACAAGAGACATTAGATTATGCCGGAATAGATCTTTCTACTTGGGAGAAGGGAGGCCTCTCTATGAGAGCCACCAGAAAATTCTAAGGGGGACGTGGGATACAAGAATGCGATAGGGACCCAACCTGGCGACAGTTTCGCATGCGGTACAAGTCTACGAACCCGATGGTTCGTTTTTCTCGAACGCATCCCAATGTGCCCCTGATCGTTGAGGGAGAATATTCCTAGCTTCTTTATCGTCACGATGATTTCAAGTGGGAAAATCGGAAGGAAGAAAAACTGCGCCGAAATTTAGTCGATCATAATGCTGCCCTCTTGAGATGAAATCAATTTAAATTGTGCAAACCACAGGTGCGACTCTAGCAGTGGCGGATACATGGCCAGGTTGACATTTGATTTATTTATTCAAAATAGCATCTGCATTAAATTTTATTAGAGCCGGTGAAATAGATTCAAGTTCTTACCCCAGACAAAAAAATAAAAAAAGGCGAAAGGACGAGGAATGGTGGTAGGCGGGAGGGGGGGATAGGTAGGAACTTGGAAACCGCCACCCATATGAAAAATTTATGTATCCGCCCCTGGACTCGAGACACATTAAAACTTCTGTACTGGGTGTGAATGCGTGGAACACGTTAAGCGACGATCCAGTGGCTGCCCTGCGCCGTGACTGTCTTTAAGATACCTTCATGAAAAAAAAAGAATCAATAGATGTAAGTGAATAGGCATTTTGTGGACCATGCAGTAGGCGACTTCACCTCGATACACTCTCACAAAAATATAGATCTTTAAGTGGGGTGTAGTCCTATCTCTGTTTAAATGAACGCTCGACCTCGACACGGAACGTGCACGATGGGCAGAACTGCATCTTCACATCTCTAAACCTTGGATCTGTTGTCGCTCATTTTATTTTATTTATTTTTTTATCATAGCGGGAGATACGGCCATCTTATTCCCTCCTCCCCTTGGTTGCGCCCCTGGTCCTTCAACAAATGCCGTACGGGAAAGTTTACCAGGAAGCATAAAGACAGGGCTGAAGTCTGAGGAAGACGTGAAGGTAAAGGAACGTGCCCACTGCCCACTGGGATCCAGCCTGGAGGAGTCAGGAACAACGCTTCAGGACCGCTGCACTACATGAGTTACGTAATATGCTAAAAAAAGCGCCCCGACAGGCAGCTTCACCTTCGCTTTTAGGGAAAACGTCACCTGCTATGATTCCGTGATTTCGCAAGCAATCCGTCTCGAGATAAGGCATGAAAACGGATCACAAGCCCTATAAAAGTAGCCGTAAAGAATTCGAAACGTTTCAGAGAGGATCCAAGTTTTCCAGATGAAGTCGCTGATTCTTCTGTGCCTCCTGAGTCCCCTGGTGAAGGGGCAATGGGACCCAAACGCGCAGTCTGGAAGGAGTACCTTCGTCCACCTGTTTGAATGGCGGTGGGAGGACATCGCTGCAGAATGCGAACGGTTCCTCGGCCCCAAGGGATTCGCGGGTATCCAGGTAATCCAGGCCGCTATTTAGTTAAATTTATTGGTGAGAATCCATTTCATGATTTTTCACACCTAAGTCAAGAGCACCGATACGTAGCAAGGGCACATCACTAAGGCCCCCCCCCCCCCCCCCCCCCCCCCCCAC